ATCTATCTATCTATCATCTATCTATCATCTATCTATCATCTATCTATCTTTCTATCTATCTATCTATCATCTATCTATCTATCTATCTATCTATCTATCTATCTATCATCTATCTATCTATCTATCTATCTATCTATCATCTATCATCTATCTATCATCTATCTATCTATCATCTATCTATCATCTATCTATCTTTCTATCTATCTATCATCTATCTATCTATCTATCTATCTATCTATCTATCTATCTATCTATCTATCTATCATCTATCTATCTATCTATTACTTTGTGGACAGGATCTCATAATCTATCCTCTGACTTAGACCAGATCGGACAGGTGGAATCTACCTGGAGCAGACAGATTCACAGATACCCGCATTTCAAACCATATGAAAGTTTAGAGGGGATACCTAGCACCTTAGATTGCACCTGGAAGCTATGTGACAACCACAGTACATGTAGCTGTCACGATTTCGTCTTTAGATTAAAGATCGATTGCTTCCTTCAGGAGCAATACAGAAGTCATACCTTGTCCTCTCTGTGAGCATATTCCATGAGGGTTACAATAGCTTCCACATCCAACAGGTGACTGGGTTGCTCCGATTCAGCCGATATGAAGGATAGGCATGTGGAATCCACAGTGTCTGCTGTTGAAACTGTGGGAAAGATACACCAAAAGAATGGAGCAATGGGTCAGCAAGGAAATGGTGGCATTTGGAAGACAGAACCCTAGCTTTCTCATCAAGGCAAGTTCTTACCCTTCCTCTCTTTAAATGGTTATGCAATTTGTTTTGTTATGACGTTGGGAGAAGTTGGCTAACTTCTGGTAGACACCCAAAGGTGCTTTTTCAAGAGGCAACTGGACTTTCTTGCTTTTCTTTGAAGACATTTTGCTTCTCATCGAAGAAGCTTCTTCAGCTCTGACTGGATGGTGGGGAATGGAAGGATTTATATTCCTTGCAGACAGCTGGTCTTTTGCCTTCTTTTAGAGAATCGTTGAGGCCACTAGGAGATTTATCTGTGTCTTCAGGGTCACCTGAGTAGTGCAAATGGGTGTGGAGTCTTCTTGGAACTGCTGAAAGGACTATGTTGTAGACTAGAGATAGATGGTGTCGTATTCCAGCAAAGATGGGAAAGAAAAATAACTAAAATACATCAAGGAAGCCTTCAGAATATGTGGCTAGACCAAATTGGCTTTCATCAAATCCCCAAAAAGACCCAGCAGGAGCTTGTCCATAACAGAAGAAAATAAATGAAGCAATGTTGTCATTTTATACATTGCAGGAATATCTGAAAAGCTCAGGAGGATCTTCAGTCAACACAACATATGTACATACTTTAAATCCAAGAATACACTAAGGAAGAAGCTTGTCCACCCCAAGGATAAAACACCCAGACACAAACTGAGCAACGTGGTATATGCAGTACAATACAGCCAGTGACACATGTGCAAATCTATATATTGGGGAAACAAAACAACCATAAACGCATGGCACAACATAGGAGAACAAACCCATCAGGACAAGATTCAGCAGCCCATCTGCATTTAAAAGACAAAGATCATGCTTTTGAAGACAGCAAAGTCCACATTTTGGACAGAGAGGACTGCTGGTTTGAAAGAAGGGTCAAAGAGGCCATCTATGTCAAAACTGAGCAGCCGTCTCTCAACAAAGGGGAAGGGATATGACATCATCTATCTCCCGTCTACAACACAGTCCTTTTGACAGTTCCAAGAAAGCTCCACACCCATTTGCAGTACTCAGATAATCCTGAGGACACAGATAAACCTCCAAGTGGCCTCAACAACACTCAACAACACTCACTCTTGCACAACAAGAATGCAAATGACCAGCTGTCTGCAAGGAATATAAATCCTTCCATTCCCCAC